GGCTGGGGCCGCGCTCAACCCGCTGAGAGCAGCGACTGGAGCGGAGTGGAAGTAGTGCGGAGCGGAGCTGCAATACTTACTTTCAACTCTAGGAAACATAGTCTTCAGTTGTCCTTTTTGACTGAAATTAGCCTGTTCCAGGGTTCGTTTTTTTCCTCTTCTCGAGGAAAAAAACACAGTTACTGCCTTGTGCAGCCCCTTCACTGCTTTCTCAAGAGCATTTCCCCACACTCACCTCAGCCATGGTGATGTTCAAGAAGGTGAAGACCTTTGTGATGTCCTTCAGCGAGCCTGAGAAGATCTACTGCAGCGGGGAGAAGGTGGCCGGGCGCGTGTTGGTGGAGGTGGCCGAGGTCACTCGCGTTAGCGCCGTCAAGGTGCAGGCCTGCGGAGTGGCCAAAGTCAACTGGGCCAAGGGCCCTCAGCAGTGCCGGCAGGAGATGGAGTACCTGCGCTTCGAGGATGTCCTCACCCTGGAGGAACAGCCCACTGGTGAGGAGCTGGGGCTGGGAGAAAGGGAGTTGGGTGGGAGGAAAGGACTTGAGCTGTCTGGTGACCACAGCTCTTCCTGCTGGGCTGGAGGGAGTCTCTTGGTTGCGTCCCCTTGGGTACGCCTCACCCGGGCTATCTCTGTGGTGAGGAGTTAGGGAGTTTTGTTGGTGTCAGGACTCGGCACCGAGGTGGAAGCAGGACTGGATGGTGGCTGAGTGTTGGGAGGAATAAGCAAATGTGTTGAAACTTGCCAACAGGCAGAGGAGAACAGGGCTTGGCTAAGTCAAGTTCAGAGTTTGAAAGCCGAGGGCTGCTGAGTCTTAACTAGAGCATAAACAAAAGCCAGATGAGTGCACAGAAGCCGTTGGGTGTTGGTGTGGCTCACAGGATGGGCAGCGATGCACTATGCCCGCAGGGACCGAGTCCTAGCATTGGCCTGGGCTGGGTGTGACGGCGGCAGGAGGTGTTGGTGGCGGTCAGGGAGTGACGAGCGCAGCCTTCGCCCAATTTGAGGAGTCCTCTCTCCATGGAGAGCTCCTTTCGGCAGCCTCTGTGTTTGGCTGGCGCTGGGAAAGGCAAGAGATAGAGACTTGGCAAAGTGTCCTGGGAGATAACCGAGGTGACGTGAAGTCCTGAGATAAGGAGATAGCTGGGGGGGAGAAGTAGGTGCTTGATACTCCCAAGGAGTGGAAGTGGGGTGTGGCGAGGAGGTGACGGAGACCAAGGCGCATCAGGACATCGTGTTCTGGACTCACAGGGGATGTTGAAAGGAGAAGTGAAATTAAATGAGTGGTGCTTCTTGCCTTGAGGAGGCACCGGGCTGTGGGGCTGCTCTGGGGGCACAGGTGTGGGCGGCTCTTACCAAACAGCTCACACAGCTCAAGCTTGTGCAGCACTCGGCTTCATCAGCGCCTGTGTAAGCAGGAGAGGGGATCAGGAACAAACCCCTGGAGCTTCAGCTGACGCTTCCCTTCCCCTTTTCTTTTCCCAGATGATGACGGCTCTGTAATCCTCAGACCTGGGAACAAATACGAGTACAAATTTGGATTCGAGCTTCCCCAGGGGTGAGTATGAGATGAGTGCTGCCTCTTAAAAGGAAATGGGATTGGATTACTATGAAAGTTCTCGTGTTGCCTCAGAGGTGTCTAACGAGCATCCCTTTCCACAGGCCTCTGGGCACCACCTTCAAGGGCAAGTACGGCTGTGTGGATTATTGGGTGAAAGCCTTCCTGGAGCGCCCGTCCTTCCCCACCCAGGAGGTGAAGAAGCGCTTCGAAGTGATGGATCCCGTGGACGTGAACACTCCTGAATTGCTGGTGGGTGCTGCTTCCCTCTCTCCAAGGGGCTGGGCAAGGTGTTACGAGAGAGAAAAGCCCTTCAGTGGGGTCAGTGCGACCTCTGTCATTAAGGCTCCCCTAATAAGCTTTATTGCTGAGCAGGGATTAAGTTCTTAGTTGGTAAGAAGTTCTAGTTGCTTCTAGAAACCTACACCAAGGCTTGTTCTGCTTTCGCTTCACTCGGAGCCTCATGGGGAACTCGAAGCTTGTGTTGCAAGGCGGGAGGAGCGGGATGGGGCAGGGGACAGGTTCCCCCCAAGTAACAACTTGGTTTCTTTGCAGTCCCCGGTGGCGGCCAAGAAGGAGAAGAAGGTGTCGTGCATGTTCATTCCCGACGGCCGTGTGTCGGTCAGCGCGCAGATCGACAGGAAGGGCTTTTGTGAAGGTGAGAGCCCGTCCTCCCCTCACGGGATGGGGTGGTGGGACACGCGATGGGGGTGTCCACACCTAAAACACGCTGGGGACCTTTCTAAACGCCACCGCTGTTCCCTCCACAGGTGACGACATCTGCATCAACGCCGACTTCGAGAACACGTGCTCCCGCATCGTGGTGCCCAAGGCGGCCATCGTGTCCAAGCACACCTACCTGGCCAACGGGCAGACCAAGGTCTTCACCCAGAAACTCTCCTGCGTCCGCGGCAACCACATCATCTCAGGGATGTCCGAGTCCTGGCGCGGCAAAACCATCCGCGTCAAGAAGCTCAAACCGTCCATCCTGGGCTGCAACATCCTGCGCGTCGAGTATTTCCTGCAGGTGAGCGCCGTGTGTTGTCGTTAGCGCTGCCTCGCTTCGTTAGTGGGTAACTTTGTCCCCTCTTGTTCCTGGACGTCCCTTAAAACTCTGCTTCTTCCCCCCACAGATCTATGTCAGCGTCCCCGGCTCCAAGAAGATCATTTTGGAGCTGCCCCTCGTCATCGGCAGGCGGCCCGGGGTCGGCAGCACGGGCGCCCCG